GAATGACAGTGTAAAGCATCCTGTAAAATCATGGCACCTGATATACTGTCATTTTCAAAAAAAGTGGTATTTTTGTATCAATTTTCAACGCTGATCGGCCGATCAGCGTTGGAAAAAACTGGCTTTTTTTCAAATACTGGCCCCAGTTGACCATCGCACTTGTTTGCAATCGATTACACACCTATGAACGGGTACAAGCCAGCTAGACTGGTTCCCTGACCTTACAATTCCCCAATATATGTAAACTGCTCTGTTTCTTCTTAAATGGAGTCAGGGAACCAGACTACAGGAAAATGATTGTTTTTCTTGGTTTTTATAGCATTTTCGAACCCAAAACCTCACAAAAGTCAGTGTATCTATATTTGCTATATATTTCCAACCCCCCAATTCCAACCATTTCTGAAAATTACAGCAAAAGCAAATGATGTATATTCCCTTTAAAAACAAAAATCTGTGCACAAGCCTTTGGAAATGTCTCCCTATAGTGCCCATTATTGATATTACTGTTTTCCCTATCATATTGTTCGACAATGCTTAATTCTGCCTATTACTCAATAACTGCTATTTTCTTCCTGCATGCACTTATTTGTGCATGCGTATTTGAATAAGATGCACCTAAAAAAAGTATCCAAAAAATGCGGTGCAACGCAACGCGTCTGCGTGCTCCCGAAGAAATATGCATGAGAAAATGAACTGATGATCAGAAATCACTGTGGTGCGAAATTGGTTAAAGCCGCGTCGAATTCATCAAGACTCAGACAATTTCCAATTTGCTTAAACAAGTATCACAAAAGCTTGAGTCGAATAACGCATAAGAACAGTCCTGCTTTAAATTCTAAAAAAAAAAAACAAGTTCGTTTAGAACTTGAAGCAGGACTGTTCTTATCAGAGCTAAAACTACTTAGCGAAAGTTGATAATAAGCAGGACACGTTCTTTTCAGAACTGAACATCTTCTAAGCAGTAGTTATTACCACATGGTGTTACCGCAAACCGAAACGATATCGATATTCCACCATGCAAAGCCTAAAATCTTATATTGAAAATTCTCATTATTTTACCAAAAAAAACAAACTCTAAATGTAAAAGAGTGACAACTTATACTCAAAAAGTGTTTTGTTCGTCTTGATGCTCTTCCAAAGAGTGGATGTTGCATACGTTATTTTAAAGTGGTGTTTCGCTATGGATCATAGCGAAAACCTACTCTAAAAGATGACACCTTCGCTCAAAAAGAGTGAAATTTCCACTTTATTAAAGAGCATAGGCTATGTGACCCGCTCTGCAGAAATGAGTCTCTTCTGGCAAAACTCACGTTTTGAGTTCACTTCATTAATAAAATGGGAATGAAATAAACGTCCATTGGTGTATAATGGACCTCTCTGTGACATTGCAGTGCTTGTTTCATTCTGTCCAGTTTTAACAAAGCTAGAAACGCCTCAATGGCGAATAATTGGTTTGAAACATGACAAATAATACTGTAGGCCTAATAAGGCAAAAAAAAGTCTCCGGTTTCTGGTATGTGCGCGCGTCGCCGTAGCCATGCGCGTCGGCAAAATGAAAAAAAAAATTCAATGAAAAATGATGTCTCAAAACCGCCAAACTCACTGGTTTGACTGGAATCCTGCTGCTGCACAATTTTAACGTGTTTTTAGATGGGGTTATGATTGAGAATAAGCTTTATGTGGCCTCTCTGGTCTCCCATAATATTTGCACTAAGTTTAGTCGGGCACCATTTGCAGTCATCAGCCGACATTTAAAGCAAAAAAAAAACAGGTAAAAAAAAAAAAGCCGCGTCGCCGCACCACTTTTTGGGCAAGCTCCATACCAGAAACCGGAGACTTTTTTTTGGGCCTAACCAAGAAAAGCACCAAACAAATCCTAATTTTGCTTTTTCGTACATTATAACAATTTCTTTGCAAGACATTTAAACTAAAACTATCAAACAACCAAAATATAACAAAAACAAAAAACTAGGTCCTATCTCTACTGAGACTGCATCCCTTGTGTTCCACCTCATTGGGCACACCAAGCTTGCTCTGGGATCCTACTTGGCATCCACACAGGATGCAACTTCACACTTCACCGATTTCGCTTTTGCTACTTAAGTGTTTTCTTTCTTAGATTTTAGGCACCCTCTTGAAGACGGTCAGAGCATACTGACCGGAACGTCGAGTTTATACCTCTGGTTCTTTTCAGAACCATACTCTTAGTTCAGAAATTATTCGCACATGGTGTTTCCGCAAACATTTTATTATGTAGTATCTCCACCATGCAAAGCCTCAAAGTTACTTAAAAACAGAAGACAAATTTTTTTTGATCAATATCCGTTTCAAAATGGCAAGAGCTTAAATTCAAATTATGCGACATCGGACTCACTTTGGCAGGGCGGGTCACATTATGGCGGACAACTCTTGTGGTTTTTATTCTTTTTTAACGTTTACAGAGAACGGGATTAAGAAAAATTGTATCTTTCTTACCTTCAGTCAGAGCTTCAGCTTGGATGAAGACGGTACAGATTCAACGAGTTTGCTTGGAGTTTGCTTGGAGACGTTTCCCGTTTGCGTGATGCCCGTCTTAATGGCTGCAGCGTAAATTTCTTATCCAATAAAAGGAGTGACAATTGTACACGTTTTGTGAGCAAAAGCCGTCTTGTCTGATTGGCTGCTCTATACTTTCGGGGCTAGTTTCTGCGCTGATACGGACCAATGGGAATCAATAATGAGGCTTGCGGTGGTTTTCGACGCCTGGCATAATTGGGTACATTAATTGGGCCTCTGAGATGGTCATCAGGCTACCTAACACGTCAATAAAAGGTCGCTGTGCCGGATACTTAGTTGCAATTAGGCTATCATCTCACAAGGGTGAGACACGACTTACGTAAGTGAGTGCGTGAGCACCTTAATGAGACAAATCCCCGCCTCTTGCAAGCCAAATTCAAGAAAATCAAGTCCTCAGTGTAAACCTCTTGCTCATGGCGCCCTCACCAGGGACAAGTACAACGGAAGTACAAAGTGCCCATGATGCTCACTGAAAGCAAAGAGGGTAATCCTTACTTTTAGGACACCTCTTTTTTTAAGTTCTGTTCAAAACTGAATTTTGCAGATGACTGTCCAGTACCAACGTGACTTTTGCAGGCTAAAGCAGTCTTTTTTCTTCATATAAAGTCATGTTTGTTGTAATTTTGAAAGCACTGTCAAAGAAAATGTGACTTTCCTACCTTTTTTCGCAGTCAGACGTGCATGTTGTAGTTCTCACACGCGTGAAAGCCCTACATAATGAAAGCCCGATGCTGATTGGCTGCTAAAAAAAATAAATTAGTCTGGTTCCCAGAACAAAAGATTCTGACTATTCACTAATCTTTTGGTCTGGGAACCAGACTAAAAATAAACAATTTAGTCTGGTTCCCAGACCAAATGATTCTGACTATTCCTGAATCTTTTGGTCTGGGAACCAGACTAAAAATAAATAAGATGTTTATTTTTTATCAGCCAATCAGCATCGAGCTTTCATCACGTCGAGCTTTCATGTTTGCCATCTTGGTTTTTGAGTCTGTTTTCTGGTTATCATCGTCGTCTTTTACCCCTGAATTCTCCTCATAAATCAAAGCCCTGCCCTCTTTCCACAAAATTTAACCTGCTGATATTCAAGAAGGTGTCATTGCCAATTGTTCAGATGTGCCAAGAAATATCAGAATGTCAATTTTGAGTGTCATTTAGTCAACTGTTTTGGTGAGTCTTTCCCTTCCTATATAGGAACGGGGTCCTAAAAGTAAGGATTACCGCAAAGAGCCGCACCCCGATGGGTCTCTATTTGCTCTTTCACACTTCCGCCATGGGCATGCAGAGCCTCGATCTGGCAACTTTACACAATAAATATAACCGTTGCAGTGGTTCCCGTGTCGGGGTTCAGATCACTGAAGCTACTATTTTTATTGTGTAAAGTTGCCAAATTTAAAAGAAAATGAAAGGTGACATGTTGATCATCATTTTTCTGTGCAGTCTGAACACTTGTGAGAGTTCCGAGTATTTTAAAAGGAATTATAAAAGTATGGGGATTTAACTCTGCACTGGTGTGTATGGGAGTGTTTATACTGGGGTGCACCCATCAGGATAACTACAGTCATATACAATGTGACGTCCTTTCTCTGTACAGGTAGTTCTCCCATTGTACATAGCGCCCTCATCGTGTTCTGGTTTATTTACATCCAGTGAAAATGAGACGACAAACGTCTGCCCTATACCGTGCGCATCACAGAGGTCCGGAATAACTATTCTATACATTGAGGGCGCTCTATGCGGGGATAGACGAATTTCAAGATGGGACCATTGGTGGAATACTGATCAGCTTTTGTAGCGTGATTTTAAGGAGGTGCATAATGATCCAGGCAAAATACCTCCGTTGTTTGACTCCTCAAGAAAATTCACTTGATTCGACTGCAACTATAGAGACAAGACGCTCAGAGTAAAAAGTATTCATTGGAATTGATCGCTATCTGCTCCAGACGTGCCTTTTTCGAACTCTTTTAATGCAATTATTTTTCACAAAATCATGTGATCCCTGTAGTCACCTCCTGTAGGTATTTCATCTTTCAAAATATGAATTCAGACGTACATGGCTAGCGTTTCTCCGTTTATTCTTTACTTTTACACTTGTATGCTTTATTCTTAAACTAGACTTGAAATAAACGGTGAAAATAATGTGAAGATTTACAACTTGCAATGGAACAATAAAAAAAACAAGGTTTCCACTAATTTTTCAACTAGTTTAAAATCAATATTTGCTAAAAAAAAAAAAAAAATTTCAAACTATCCTGAAATTCTGTTTCTTTGAATTCCTAAAAGTATTTTTAAAAGACTTATAATCGACTTAATTAAATTATCGAATTTTGAATATGGTTTATACACCCTAACTTTCATAAACTATACGTCAAATCAAATGGAAGTTTTCCGAGTAAAAATTGACGAACAAGTCAAAAACCTTAGATGTGAAATTTTAATGTTCGTTGAATGGATGTTAGTACACTTATTCTACTTTTAGACTTAAAATCAGTCGTCCAAAGTTTCCAGTTCCTTTCTTGGTTTGCTGACCATTCCATACACATCCTGGGCATATAGACAGCTGCAGATCGTACCTGGAATAAAGAGGAACAACAATATGCATTTAATTGCCATGTTCATTACATTGTGAAAGATTTGATTTTCGCCAAGGTGACTTATCTTATGAAATTAAAACAGAAGATATGAATATTGTTTTGTTTGATTCCGTAAGTCTGGATAAACCGAATGGAGGGGAGCCTAGTAAACCTGGTTCCAGAGTGCAAAAACTGTATTCAATTGATTTCAACAATTTAATGGAAGACTTTCAAGTTTCCTGCATGTGTCTTTCACAAGGCAATGGGTCGGCCATACCCATTTATTGGGGCCACCAGATAACTCGAACTTTTTGGCCTTGGCGAGACTTGAGCAAGTCTCATTCACGAGTCAGTTAGTAAGTCAGTCTGCCAGTCAGGTTAAAAAAAGGATACACAGTCGACTCTCGTTATTACGAGGTTCTCCGGACTTTAATCTCCTCGTATTATCCGGAAGCTCGTCTTATGCGGAAAGTCATTTTACCCACGATCGTGTGCACAAACATGCAACGCAGGTGTTTTCTTGAAATGACCCCTCAGGCACCACCAAAAAAACATCAAGATGGGCTTCGATTTATTTATTTTTGGTTTAAAGTAAACGACGAAGAACAAAATGCAGTATGTAATGCCGTGATCCCTTGGTTCTTTATTTAGTATGATCCTAATAATTAACAAGCCCATGCAGGGGCAGATATGTTGGATAAGTCGTACTTACCAGAGCTATCCGCAGGTAGAGACCTCCCAGAGCAGGACCTCACAAATCTGCAAAGTGGCTTCGTCTTTAGGAATGTGAATAACGATCTCATCTCCTCTAATAGGTGGATCGCAAATGACGAGGTTCATCCCGCCGGGGATATTGGCCGACTCGGCGCTGACGGGGGAGCCGCACCGCTCGTGTCGGTGTATTCCCCCTACAAGCACCTCTGCTCCGGCCAAACGGACATCTACAATGTATGGAAATACAAAGATTAACGTCAGCTATGGAGAAAATAGTGTTTTTAATGACTGGTGTAAATACCCTTCAAGGGAATTTGGGCAACCTCGCAGTCAGATGCCCTGATTAAAAGAGACAAAACTGAATTTACAAAGAGCATTGGTTTTAGCCAGGTCCGTATTTCAAAAAGTTGCATTCATCTGTAAAATCTTACGATTAATCTCCAAGTTTAAACGTCATTAAACCATGGCAAATAATGGGAACGTATAGTGCATGACTCTTTGATAAATTGGCATTTTCATAACAGGCTGCATTATTTCGACCAAACTGGGCCAAGTAAACAAAACTGAGATAGAAATTCTTGAGTGATTAAAAACCCAGCAAATTCAGACAAGCTTTTATAACTTACAGCTACCATCCCGACGGTTCACAATGCCGACTTGCGCAATGCAGCGAGACTCAAGAAGATTCAACCTCCACCACGGGTGCCCTTCGGTTTCTGGAAATAACGGAGAATAACAAAGCCTCGATAAATTAATTGCCTTTGAAACGGGGAGTATTATAAAGCATGCAAGCCTATAGGTTTAGACATTTCATTGAATTTGACTTTTATTTAGATATTTCTATTGTACTGGAATACAGTTCTTAACAAATGTTATGACAATAATATAATTCATATTGTAGTTTTATTTATTTATTTATTTTTCTTTCGTATCATTAAGCCCTCACGATTTTCAAGTGTAACTTGTTCAGTTTTCCCTGTATCTAAATTCTGCGGTGAAATACGTCTAATGATTCCTCACAGTCGCATGAACACTGCATCCACATTAGAAAGTATTAGCTGTGCCGGAGGCCTGGTGGAGAGATCGGTTGAGGACAGTCGAAACAGGACTCAGGTAAAGGACTGAAAACAAGATCCACAAGTCGGCCTGGGTGGGATTCGAACCCGGGTCATGGAGTTGAAAGGCGAAGAAACGTTTCACCAACGTGACTGTGTGAGTGTCAGCTAAGATAAGCGACCGACATACCTGTATGCGCGCAGGTTTCTCCGTTGATCAGGTCCGAGTTGAAATTCCCGTCCACTGCGTTCCCAGAAACGTAATCTACGCCGTTGAAAGTCAGAGTGGAACTCTGCTCTGTTTGAGGGTTGGCGAAGTCTACCAGTGTAACAGGAGAAGCTGCAAGTCATATCGAAGTAAAGAAAGGAGATATCAGAATGTATACAGATCTTTTTTTTTATGAAAACCGATGAGTTCGATTTACAGCATACACATTATGTACGAAAAAAGGTTGTATTAGACACTACGTATTTAGACACTAACAGAGCAGTTAAATTCGTGAACCCCCAAAACATGGCCTTTTGAACGTCGAGTTGCTCAGGAAATATGCTCAGTATGATTGAAATGTTAAATCATAACGAAAGAAGAATTTCTAAACTTCATATCAGTGAAAAAGACGCCGTCATCGATGCCAAAACCACACAATTGTATACTGGTAAAGCAGACCTTTAAGTCTGAAAGAAATCGTTCGGAATGTCCCTAAATCTATGTATTTATATCAATTTCTAGGAATTTACAAAAAAAAATGTTATTTCACGAGTAGTTGAACGCATTATCATCTAAGTATATTCCGAATTTCAGCTTAATATATTGTTGCTAACGCTTGTGTTACAGCGCCAACTATCTGTAAGGAAAATCTGGACGGGATTTTTTTTTCCGGCCGAAACCAAAAAGGGTGATATTTATCAATTAATAACTCGTGAAGGAGGCTTTTATGCAAATTGTTATTGCACACCATATGGATAGGAACCTTATTGATATTTGTGGTGCTTGAAAACCTTGGCAGACATTGCTAACGCCAGTGTTACAGCTTTCAAATTAGCCAGGCCTCTTTTTCCGAATTCAACGAAAAGTAAAGAACATATCACAATGAGTTTTAGCATATCGCTGCATCCGTTAAAGGGAATAATAGCTTCAAAAAGAGGAAAATTATCCTGGAAACTTCTCCGCTTGAGCTGCCCCCTACTTGTCAGCTGAAGAGCAATGAGACGGGGAAAATGTTGACTGTTCACTTTTTATGTTCACAAAAACATCCTATCGTTTACGATAACGACTGTCATGTAATTTTTCGGGAGAAGTGAAATTTACCTTCAACATTTGCCATTCTCTTCCTCGTTACTACGCATATGCCTACTTTGGGCGACACTTCCAAGCAGAACGTGCCCTCAATGCACTGATACGGCGATGGGCTCAAGGGATCACAGGCTGAGAATAAAGCAATGGTATTCAAATATTAGTTTTACCGCACGATAACACCATGCGGCAATACATTGGAATCGTGAACATTAAAGCTGATTAAATAACCAGAAAATTAAGAAGAAATCAACTGCAGAAACTTACGCGATCCGGGATATTGCTTCACAGCAACCTCGTCGGCTGAAAGGAAAGAGAGGCGGAACATTGTATTAATACTCCACGGAAAACTTAGCGATGGGAAACACATTTTCGGGGTGAAACACAAATTAGCACGGGAAATTGATTGTGGTCCGAGGGAAGGATTGTAAATTGCAGCCACCGCTTTCTCCCAAAAATAAAAGACGGACTGAAGTTCAAAGAGAAGAAAAAAAGAAGAAGGACATGTTACCTTTGTTAGTTTCAGCCGCGAAGACAGAGCCCAGGCACACCAGAACGACCAAGCAGATATAAGCCTTCATCTTGACTGCATAAAGATACGTTAACCCAGAATTATAAAAGCGGCAACCACAACAAGAACTAGAGGTTCGCGTTTGTTGAGCTCCAAACACAAAGTGGTCGGGCCGGCATCTATTTCATATGTCTTAAACTTTGCCACAATAATCAACTGAAAATCATTTTAAAACATTTTTCAACCTGCCGCTAGAGGCCGTTCTAACATGAAGTCACCGGTATTTTTTGTCTAAAGTACAAACTGGCTGGAGACTAACATCGCTGAAAGCAAATGCACATCTTTTTCCAACTTTAAATTACAAGGCACTTCCGGTTTGGACCGGAAAGAAGGGTCAAGTAAGTTTGCAAGTCCCATACACAGCAATATCAGATCTCCCCCTAAAGCTATAATAAATTTAATACAGCTCAATGGATCTCTCACAGTTGATTTTCAAATATTAATTACGTGGTCTCAACATATATGCACACCTAAGCTACTGTATTGTAAACTCATCAAGTACAATCGTAAAAAACCAGTATCTCTAAAAGTAAAATTCGCACACCATTGGCGTAATGCAAAGTATTGCTCGCCATACCTATTCACCCCAATATGCACGTTTAAAAAAAACCGCCTAGTTGGGCACCCGTTAAAGTTATGTAGCGCCCTCTAATTCATATGGCATCTAATTCATGTGTTGCGCCCGACCACTCAATGATACTAGTTCCATACCCAACCTCGTCAACAGGGTGTCGAGCAGTACGCGCCCACCTCTGCTCTCTCACCCTGGTATTGGATCATTTGCATGTGCAAGATTATTGAACACATATGCAAATGAGGAATAGCCTGGTGCCTGCATGTGCATTACATAAGCGTTTGATTTTGTATGCGGTATCTGGGGTAAAAACAGCATCAATTCGTCGCGCCGGAATTTGTTTAACTTAAAATGTTACAATCTGGCCCGCCAATATGCAGTATCACATTTTCATATTAATATAAGCAAACTGGAAAGGAAAGGAGTGTTATTGAGAAGGTGTGGACGTTATTATTACAAAGCACCATAAAAACACGTAATGTACGTTGGAAATAACAGCACCAACTACACGATATAAATCCATTATTAGCAAATTGCTTTATCGAATCAGGACGATGGTGGTTCCATACCTGCATCGGGCATCAATGGATTTTCCTGCCATGTTGCCTAAATTGAATTCTGTATCTGCATATGTCTAGATTTGAACTTTCTATTAAAAAACACAATATTCAAGCAACTGTGGCGACTATCTTATCCAACGTAAAGACACTTGTGACTTTATACACGTACACAATGGTAACTGAATCACCAAGTACACAGACTTGATTCAATTGCCTTAAATCGGTATCTTACAAAAATAAGTTTAAACTAGAGGTTCGCGTTTGTAATGTTACAAACGCAGAGTGGTCGGGCAGACAACTATTTCATTAGACACTGCCCAGTTAAGTTTGAATATTTTTATGTCAGAACAAAGGATTACGAACTTCAAAATTTCCAGTACAATCAATCATTTTGTAAAAAAAAATGCATCTTTTAAAGAATATGATAAATTTCAGTATACATTTTAGGTACACGTACACGTTGTTTCCAGTTTGATGACGTCATCAGTCAAGGGACTACTGATTTAGTTCAAGGAGGATACCTGTTTATCATTAAGTAAAAATAATGCATGGAAATGTGGAAATTACAAGTGTATGTAATAATAACACCCAACTTCCGGTCTGATCCTGTAATGATTATAAAATCCTGCAAATTCATTTGTGGTTGCTCACGGAATATATAGGGACAATTTGGCAGAATTTTGCTTGAGGGCTTTAAAATTTGAAAAAGTTAAACTCGTTTTGATGTTCCGCTGGAGGGTGTCCTTTCGGGGATGACGTCAAAATTATGTTTTTTTGTGTTTGGCATCCCTCACTTAACACTTTCATAATGTACTTGTCTGTTGTAAAATGCTTTTGTTTTAGTTACGATTAATTTAGGTCAAGTGGTTTTGTGCCCGGGAACACCGGAAATGAGTAAGTTGCTCAAAGCACCGTCTAGTAACCTCACGAAAACAATTGAACACGAAGAGATTTTGCTCAAACTATTTTGTCAAATTGTGCCCTGAAATCGCTTGTAATTTGATACCTGATGACGTCTTGATGACAAAAAAAATTTATAACATCATCTTCGTAACATGGTACAAGTTCGTCCCCAACTGGCTCTCATAGGATATAAAGCGCACGTTAGCAACTTGTGTCGTCAATTATGTCTCTGGTCTATACCCTAATGAGCTCGTTTGCATAGCTTCCCCAAGTCAACTCGGATATGGTAATCCTGGTGGAACCAACAAGAACCAGTTGAAACCAACTGACCAAACCAGTATTAACTGATAATCCTTATGCACTGTTATTTTGGTTGTGTAAAAATCAAACGGTTGTGTACTATATGAACCTAGCAACCCGTTGTGTAAACTGTTCTTTACACAACTTGTGTAAAATATTACACAACCTGTTCAATATTTGTACACAACTAGTTGCTAGGTTCATATAGTACACAACCGAAATGACAGTGTGGAATCAACAGGAACCGGTCGAAACTAAATGAATAAACCAGTAATGACTGGTAATTCTGATGGGATCAACAGGAACCAGTTGAAACCAACTGAATAAACCAGTAATAACTGGTGATCCTGATGGGACCAATAAGAACCAGTTGAAACCAGTTAAACTTACCAGTAAGAACTGGATACATTGGAATTACAGGGAACAGGAACCAGTTGAAACCATAGTCGAACCAGTTACCTACGGGTAATTCTTACTGGATTCATGAATTCTACGTGACAGGTCTGTAAGACGAGCGTTTGGCATATTTGTACAGATAGGCTAACACAATGTAAACTGTCGCGTCCATATACTCATAAAGTAAGTTACTTACATGAAGTTGACGCTGTTGTGCTCCTGAAGTAGAGATAAGCTTGCTAGTTGACGACAATCGCCGGAATATCTATTTGGAGAAAGGACCAGACCTTTTATACTTTTTGGAGATGTAAATGGACGGTGCAGAGCTTACGAATGTGGTAACGAAGGACCAATAATTAAGAGTGGTATCAGTAGACGTTCCAGATTGGCTGAAAATTATAAGATGTGAACTCCAGTGAAAGCCCCACCCACGCTTCTTGACCAATCACAGCTGCGATTAAAGACTGACATGCGTGCACTAAAGTGCACCATGCATTTGCGTGCGTTTGACGCACGGGCTGGCACGTGCAGTGGGGCAGCGGATGGTGTCACGTATAGACTTTAGTATAGACTTTCAAAACGTATTGTTACAAACAAACAGATACATGTTATTCATTTTTAGAAATAGTTGTATATCAAGCAGAATGTGTTGATTTGTTGTATTTAGAAATACCTATCAAGGCATACGTACAGTCGTACACCCTTAAAAGAGTTAATTCGTCTATAAGAGACAAAGGACAAACATTCTAATTTAAAGATGACATTGTGCAATGACAAGAAACGTCTTTGCTATCACAAGAGTCGATTAAACGTCATTTCCTACAATTACTCGTATCAGCAAACTGTAATTGATCATAAAACCAGTAACTCGAAATTAATCGTTTCGACGAACATTATTTTTGATATTAAAACAATATTTTACACTACAGATTCAATTGAGACAAAACAAACTTCGTTTTGTATGAATCCTTTTTTGTAACGTATCTGGCAAGTTATTTATCATGTAAACTGGTTTGTTATGGTTGTCAGCCGCTAGAAGCAGACATATCAGGACAAACAACGAAACGCAATACTTGACAAAAGTTACCATCAAAAGCGTTAAAGTGACTGCCTCAATAAGTACGTAACAATTCTGCAATGCTCGCTCTTGAACACTTACATAATCTTATGTTTTATACTCAGTCCAATTTAAAAAAAAAACCTATAATTTTCTCTTACAAAATGTTTGGATTCGAGTAATCACAATATGTCGCAAGAAGAATCAATGAAACAGTATACAACTAACATTCGGAGATGTAACGTATCTTGTGACAAATATAATGGCACGCCTATAAGACATAGGCCTACCTTTTTTTCTTTTCTCATTTAGCCCCCTTTCATAACCTTCTTGGCCTTTTTTTTTAAAGCCTTTTTGCAGTAGGATATCATTTCAAGTTTATTTTACTTAATTGGTCGCCTTGCTCAGAGCTTTTGAACATGACAAGTGACACTAATACGTTACCAAGCTGATCTGATACGTTACTTACCAGGTTGATCAGATACGTTGTCAGGTTGATCAGACTGCTTAATAAACCACCATTTTCCGTGAAAATCATGTGTTCGCGGGCTTATTTTTTTGTAAAGTCGTAGTGCTGTACGGCCTTAAATGTTCTTGCTTTAGATTTATATCTATACTTAACAATTTATAGGTTATGTCCTTTAATGTTAACACAAGTCAATGAAAAAAATAAGTATCTTTTCAACACTCTACTTGACTGTGCGAATGTGAACACTCTTAAAAAGCTGGTTATTTTGGTTGGTAGAAACAGTTGGTTAAAATTTAAACCAATTTTTCCAATGTTGCCCAACGTTGGGTATTTTTTTTTAAACAACTGTTGGGCGGTTCACCTGGTAAACAACAGCTGGCTAAAATTAGTCATTCTACTAGTACCCAATGCTGGTTAAATTAACCCTTATTCAAGGCAGAATAAAGAGAAACTCTGCGTATTTAGTCTTTTTTTTTTCATTATTAAATTCGATGGACTAAATTCAATTTTTTGATTGGCTACCACGAAAATCATGGATTTCCCCCCTAACAAATTCGTCAAAAGTCTTAGAATAGAAATGAAATTTAATTTGAGCTGTCACGGTGCTCAGTTTAAGAAGCTGTTTAAGAAAAGCAGGCCTATGGTAGTTAGGTTCTTGGAGAGTCCATGATATATATAGCACTGTATATTCGTTTTGATATCCGTCCCCTTAGTGGCGTAAACCTGTGCCGACGACTGGGGGGGGGGGGGGGGGGAGTGACTCCCCCTAAAATTCTAAAACCATCCCTACGTAGCAAAATTCAAAAAGCGGTTAGCGGGAGGGAGGGGGGCTGAACACCATTCGTCACTATACGTAGCACTGCATGAAGACAGATCAGCGACATGAGTGTATGCTACTGCTGTTTATGAGCATTTTACTTCAATTACTGACTTTATGAGTAAAGTTGATATTTTCCTGTCGATTTTTTTAAATTGGCTACAATTTCTTTCTGTCTGGGTGTATGTGTGTGTGTGTGTGTGTGAGTATGGGTGTGTTTGTCTGTGTGTGTGTGTGTTTTTATATTCACCACTTATGGGGGATGATCCAATGACCCACCCTTCCCCCTCAAAATGTCGGGGGTATATATCCCCCAGGGATTTACACCCTTGTCCGTTCCTTCGAATCACCCCGAACCCTTCCCAATCCCATCGGCATGAGCGTCGCCGGAATTTTGTCCAGAGGCAGCTATGATTATTTGACACTTGGGGCGCTGTTCAACTGTAAACGAAGCCGTATACAGAGCACGGATCTGATAGTACATAATATTTTAAGACACCTTTTCGGTGGTTTTGTCAAAATTGCAGAAAAATTAACAGTTCCAAAATTACTCAGACAATCTTGTTCCCCTACCCCCGGCTCCGCACAAGTGACCCCCCCCCCCTGTTCTTCAATCCTCTTGTCCGCACTGTTACCACCTTTTAGAATGCAAGGAGAAATCCCGAGGTACCGAGGTTGAAAGAGAATCCAATGCAGTAATTAGTTCCCTGATCATTTCAGGGGAGAAACCTGCTGGTACATCACCCAAGACGCTTTGGATCCCTGGGATCTTCACTTGGCGTCGGCTATATCCATGCATGATAATCTACAAAGCCTTGTAATTATTTGACTGCATGGGTAAAGTCCTCTTTGTATTTCCTAAGGTAGAATGTGACCCATTCATTAAAAATGTTGATTGAAACAAAACGAATAGGGCGCGAGAGAAGATATTCACGTACAAAATAATGACCGAGTTAAAGAAGTTTGCCCGCGCTCTTGATTTTTTCCCTAACAAACTTTGAATTTGTTTGTTTTAATACTGTGTTCAGGAAAAACAGCTTTGTTTCCAATTTCAGGCGTCTGCAGCCCTCGCAAAAGGACGTTTTTGTTGTGCGGGTAAATGAACCCGCCCTCCAAGAGCCAAGTCATTGTCAAGCCGCAAATAATTCATACTTTGTAAAAAAATAATTCAATAATTAAACTTTGGTGGACTACCATGTCTCATTCAAAAGTGAATAACTTTCATGTCACTATAGGTAAAAAGCATGAATATTACATTTTTTCCGGTTTCACACTCGAAATGGATGTTTAACGGCGTTTGGTTGATTTTTCGCCATCGTAATAACATATTTAAACCAGAAAAATATTATTCTAAATAGTTTGTTAATGTAGCAAAAGCCAATCCAACAAGCAATTATGTATACCAAGGGCTTCCCCTGAGGCGTACCTGAAAACTGAGGCTCTTCCACTTGAGCCTTATACCCCCGTCCCGCCCCCTGAATCTCCTACCTTCTCAGAACTTATGGGACTAAAAAGGAGCAGCCGCAGCGTTGGTATTGTTAAAAATTTAATGCCCTACTTCAGGAACTGAGTCTTTTTAAGCGTACCCTATTTTCGAGTTGCAACCCCCCCCCCCCAAAAAAAAGCAACGTAAATAAACAACGAATAATATGGATAAGTACATGCGTCGGGTGCGCGGAAGAAAGTCGTTAGGGTGAAAAACAATGGGTCAAAAGGTCAAATTCGGATTTTTTTCCCCGGGTAATAGATAGAGCATGGAAAAAACTTTCATTTGATTTAGATTTTCTCTCAAAGGGCTACGTAATACTGATGTAATTAACAGTACAGCAAAAGTAGTAAGGACTTTTTCTCTATTTGTTCCCGACAAACGGTCGTTAGCGTGTAATTGTAATTAATGTAACAAAATATGTGCCAAGTGCGTTAACTTTTTTTTCTTCCAAAATGACCGGCCGGGCAATTTTCAAGATGGCCGCCAGCTTTTTTTTTTTTAAATGGCCGCCACTTGGACTCAGGAAATGACAGCCCAGCTTTATATGGGCTAGATGCAACAGAGAAAAGGCCAAAATGATATAACTCTTTAAAATGTATAATTTTTTAGTTTCTTTTTTCCCCAAAAAAAAATAAAGAAAAAAAGGAGGCGGCCTCCAAAAAAGCAAGCGGGCGGGACGCTAAACATTTTTTTATTTGCCTAACCCTATTTTCAACGTTCATATTTCCAATTTAAGGACATTTCGGTGCCTTTTTTATTCTCATGCTAATGCAAATTTCCATATTCATTAGCAAAAGTGTGACATGTCAATTTTCAGGCAGAAACCTCAACGGTACAGCTATTTCAGCAGCCACATTTTCTTTGGTGATTCGTTGTTGTTTGAGTTCATGACAGCAAGCTAATGAGCACATTTTTCTCACAAATCGTAGAAACTTCAATGTTACAGGTATTCCAGCAGCAAAATTGTCAATTTTCTTTTGGACATTTTCCGCAGTAAATTTTCTGGTCTTTGGTGGTTCGTTGCTGTCTCAGTACATGACAGTCAGCCAATGAGCAAAGTGTTCTCACAACTGTTTTCAGTCAGCACATTTTTGGGTTCACAATCTGAACAGAAAACACCTAATTTGAACAGTGTCTTTCCGAATTTACATCACAGTTACAGCGCCCTTAAGGGCCAGGAAAAGCATGAGAAATTTTAAATGTTAAAATACAATTGCACTTTTCCAGTCATATGGTTGCTAAGGGCGATTTCAAAAGGTTACGTAACACTTCATTTTCATTTTGAATGAAACTATAATAATTAACATTTCAATCACACTGAGCATATTTCTGAAAAACATAACGTTCAAAAGGCCATGTTTTTTGGGGGTGCATGGATTTCACTGCTCTATTATAGCGTCTAATCGGATTAGCTTTGCCTAACAATACCAGAAAATATGCCCTAGCAACCACATGACTGTTTCAATA